TATTTTAATTTCCTTTTATTAATAGGATTAGGGATAATTTGGCATATAAATATAGGGGTATTATACACTTTTTAATCAATCAATCATATATCAATATAAAACAAGATTATTCCAATATAATTCTTATTTTCAATTCTTATTATAAAAATTTCATAAACGCTCCCGCATTAAACTGGTTCACTAGAATGGTTGGAGCAACTGGAGTCTGGAGCTAGTACTATCCCTACAAGCTAATGTTAGTTGTTGGTTGGGCTCGACTTGAACCACTGGACTTATCCATTTTTTAGTCGATCATGCCTCCATCTGGTATTTAAGCGTCACATTTCTCTGTGACTTCGGCTAATGCTGTAGTTGAAGAAATGGCCCTTTCGACTGTGAAATTGAAAGATTTAAGTTGAGCTTCTTCTCCACTCTCGCTTTTCCTCGCCAAAACCAAATTCTCTCCCTCAAAATCCTTCTCTTCTTCCCTCCACTCTGCCACCTCAACCAAGGTGTCCAAGAGGTTAGTAACAAGCGGGGAACTAACGTGACATTAATAGAGGGGAACTAACGTGACATTAATAGAGAGACTAGGCACGACCGTTAGGTTCATTGCAGGAGAGTGACGGAGAGAGATATTTGGAAAGAAACGTGAACTCAGGTGTTCAAATTGGAACAATTTATATTTTGAGCGACCATCTTGAAAATTCACCATAACCTCAGTGACAAAAGGTGTAACTTGCCTCTAGACAGAATTCTGAAAGATGCAAATCATGCAGAAGCACAACATAGGATAAAATAGTACTCTTGCATATATTTTTAGCTGTAACAGAAAGGGAAAAATACTATTTTACAGGGAGTATTGTCAATATCTGAAACCGACGTAATTAAAGGCGTTAATTGCTACAGAATCCTCTCGATTTGTCTCCATACAAGGTTCGTAAAAAAAAAAAGAAAGAAAAAACAAAAACAGAGCAGAGCAAAGCAAAGCAAAGCAAAGACAAACTTAAGACCTGTATAAAGAGGAGTTTTGGGACCTAGGCTGAGTATAACCATGAAACTGCTGATGGCATGCATTTCAAATCCAATCTGGGGAGTTTATGCACTTCTTGAGGAAATATAAACACTTCTGGTTGACATTGCTTCACTTAGTCAATCTTCACCGATGAGTAGATGAGCCTCGTGAACCAGAAACATGCTAAAAACCCAATGGTACCAGTCACAACGAAGAAAGCATATGAAGCAATAAGCATGTATCCGAAGTACAAAATGCCAGACACCGGTTTTGTGATGTTGAGCTTTGTGAAGAAGTAAAATGCTGCATACAGGAAGAGGTAGAGAGCCGATGACCCTGCTGTCAGGTATGACCTCCACCACCAGAGGTAGTCCTCACCGCACAGCTGGAAATAGCAAAGCACGATTGAGATCTCAGCACAGGTGACAATTAGGATGATGAACACGATGGAGAGGAAACCGAAAATATAATAGAACTGTTGCAACCAGATTGATGTGAGGATGAAAAACAGCTCAATAAATACTGCACCAAATGGAAGTATGCCTCCTATTAAGATTGAGAAGACGGGATTCATATACCAGGCCTGCTCGGGAATTTGCCTTGGAATCTTATTGGTTTTCACTGGATCCTCTATAGCTGGCTTCTTAAACCCAATATAACTACCTACGAAAATGAGAGGAACTGAAATGCCAAACCACAAGAACACTAATGCAAACATGGTCCCGAATGGTACAGCTCCTGATGATTTTTCACCCCAAATTAAACCATTCAACACAAAGAATATGGCAAAAATGATTCCCGGGAACATGAAAGCTGTTTGAAGAGTAATTTTCTTCCATTCTGTTCCCTTGAACATCTTGTAGAAACGAGCCGAGGCGTATCCAGCAAAAAGGCCCATGAATACCCAGAGAAGAAGCATAGCTGTCATCAATCCTCCTCTGTTCGAAGGGGATAGGAACCCTAGTGAAGCAAAGATCATGGTAACTACTATCATCCCAAAGAACTGAACACCAGTTCCAACATAAACACAAAGCAAATCTGAGTTTGCCGGAGGTCTGAAAACATCCCCGTGGACCAATTTCCATCCCGTTTCTTCTTGAGCTTCTTCCTGAGTCTCTAACTGATTGTACTTGGAGATGTCGCGGTAAAGGGTCCGTAACATAATCATGGCCACCATTCCAGAAAGAAAAAGGACAATCATCAAAGAATTGACAATTGAGAACCAATGGATTTGATCATCTGCCATATATAGATAAGTATCCCATCTAGATGCCCACTTAATTTCGCTTTCCTGCAACAGAGAAGCAAGGAGCAAGACATGCCGATATACCAATATCAATACTGAATGTCTAATTATTTTATGCACACCGAGACACAAAGCATTACCTTGAACTCAACATCATAAGTGAAGATGATTTCCTTCTTATCTTCAACCTCCTGAGGGGAATTAGAGCTGGTTACAGTGCGTTTTGCACGTGGATCACAGGTCGTTAAACGTGTTTTATCATCCCATTTACCCTCGTATTCATGCCTTACACTGGATGCGCAAAGAGAATCCAACATCAACAAGCAGGAAAGAACAATATGAAGCATAAAATTAACTAATAAGTAATCTGCATCATTACCTGAATGGTTTGACTTCAAATCCCACAATTCTTGCGGCATCTGTTTGTTCATCCTTATGAAACTTCACTGTAAATGTCAAATGGTTGTTGATAAAATACTTCTGCTCCTTTTTCTATAAATAAAGAATTCAGGGAGGAAAAAAGAAGTCAAGACTGAACTTTTCTTTCAAATGGTAATACTAAGTAATTTACACCTTCAAAAACAAAGCAATTTGATACTTACTCCAGCATACTGTCCTATGAGACCAACATGGAAACCATGTTGATAAACCACCGAATCCACGTCGTTTCTTTTATAAGGCTCCACTAGCGGGAGATTATCTAAAATCCTGTTAAGAGAACATCAAAAAGTCAAAAGTAAGTCGTGTACTACAAGGATATTAGAACGTACAAAATTCCTCAACAAGATGGCTCACATGTTCACCCGGTATTCATCTTCTATCCTCTCTTTGAATTGCTTAGCATCTTTGGCATTAAGAGTAATACGGCAAACAACATTACAAATTTGTGGCTCTCGCATTTTAAACTGCAATGATAAACACGGGTGAGAAGTTAATTTTTTAATTATGTAAAATTGTGTATTATGTACCGTCTTAAATGATATAAAGAGCGGTGGATTGATTTGATTTAGTAATAAAAGAAATGAAATAAAACGATACTGACCTCATATGGAGAGTTTTCAATACGATCACCCCGAAGAACTTCCCCAAGATTTTCCGCGCTGTCCACAATTTTATCTGGTTTGCAGTAAGGAAGGGAATAGTAGGAGTATGGAAGTTGGGTTTTAACGGAGGCCAGTTTGTTTACTTTGACCTTCAGAATATCACCCTGCATCAAAGAAACACCAAAACAGACAATCATGTCACAACAAACTCGGAGTAATTTAGATAAAGCAGCAAGCAAATATGTAAACATAACTGCATGTATGTATGGTGCTTGGACGATGGGCGCTGCAAAGTTTTGCAATGAATTTTGTTCAATAGGCTCAGATCTTTCTGGGAATATGCAAAACAAGATGTGCTGAAACTAATGATTGATCAATATCACCCATTTGGCATACCTATGCGCACAAGACGGACATTTTTCATACTTACCATCATTGAATAGCAAACTTCCAGTTTTAAGAACTGTACCAAGACTTTATTCTCTTATTTTGAGAAAGACAGGAAATCAAATCTATTACAATTCACATAAAGGCCAAAGAAAAAAATATATGAAAGAGAAAAGTTCAAAATCCATTCAATAACAATGCGTACGATTTCCATGCAACTGAGAGTTCAGAACATAATATAGTCAACTGGCTGCTAGTACATCTAATTAGCAGGTTTTCATCTGCTCCTAGTAGCAAAAATAAACTGTTTAAAAGTATGTTTGGGAAGTGTTTATAAACAGTTTAAACTAAAATAGATAAAAATGAGTGGTGATAGGTCAGTGATACTTGTGGGCCGCCTCGAAATGTGTTAGTTTATAAACATGAGACAAACATAGGCTAGGTTTCTTTATTTACACCACCAAATTGCACTTCCATAAATTTGTGGCCAGAATACTTCAGATGTGAGTTTTTCAAAGGCTTGAGTGATACTAGAAATCTGGCCGCCTATAACTAGAATGGGACTCTTTTTTATTCAACTAAGGAAAAGCTCTAGTACTCCTGAATCTTTAAATATCATATAATAACTCAACATTATTCTTAAATTATCCACTTAACTCAGCACTTGTATTGATTTTTCAAAATAATAGGAAAACATTTAGATAAGAAGTGACGTGTCTAAAATAATGAAATTCATACGAAAAATAGGGATAGGTAGTGAGAGTAAGAATCCGCAAAATTGTTTTTAATTTTCCGTAGTCCCGTGTAGCATAAAATTTTGGAGTGTTTGCGGTTTGGGATTAAATAATGTGAACGCTTCTTTTTTCTCCACTTCTAATCATTAGAGAAGTTCTGGTCTTTTTCCATGAGCTTAAGCCAAGTGTCATACCAAAAAATGATTAGTGTTCTGTTTATCTTTTATATTTTTTCTATCACCCAGTTTTGCGGATTGTGCACAACAAATGAAGTAAATTATACTCATATGATCCAAAGCATGGGTCATCAATGATTCATATTTATATATCACATCCAATCCAGATAAAAAAATTGTCAAAACATCAAAGAGTCATTCAAAGAAGAAAATTTGATTAAACCATGCCATAAGTAACAGGCGTACTGCAATTTAGTTCCATTTCCTTGAGTTATGGCAATGTGATTTTCGTCGGAGTTAGAATCAAATGAATAAATCATATCTTGAATAACACCTATCATACTGATCCATGAACATACAATGTAGAACTGGTATGAACGTATAGTAGCAATAGCAGTTCAAAATCAATGTTAATGCATCATTTTCTAAGCAAAAAGCATTATTTTTTGTGTTTCGGCCAACTGATTACCTTAGTTAAATTCAAAGAGAATGTTAAAAATAATTTAATTGGCTAAAAATAATATTTAGATCTCAATGTATTGAATAACAACAGACACTTGAATACTGCACACCTCAACGAAATTTTGTCAAAATAAGTAAAAAGAAAATGTATAGATCTTAAAGAAACCACACTAAATTGCATGACAGAAACTACGTCAAATTCACAAACATTCACAAACTCATAATTTCAAAATAAAATCTATAAAATCCATTCCAATACTCACAAGCACAGGTCGCACAAACAAATATAAGTGAGACAATTAAAATAATTATAAAAATAATATCTACAATACTAATCAATATTCATATAAGCTCTAATGGAAGTTACCTTGCGTAAATCTTGGGGAGCAACGCCAGGAAGGTAGAAGCAGTGCGCGGTGGCGATGAAGAGGAAGATCGCAAAACAAAAACAAAGCTGAATCGTGCTAGACCTTCTCTCCATTTTCTCTCTCTAAAATTACCACAGATCAATGCTCAAAAATCAAGATCTGCAGATGCTTATGCGAATCTGCGTGTATATATAGATGTGTATATGCGTGTGTTTGTACGTATATACGTCAGTACGTGAGGATCGAATAGCACGGAAGAGAATCCAACTGAAGTCAGTGAGGTAAAGGGTATTATTATTATTATTATTTTGTTCGCGAGTGCTTAAAGTTTGGAGAAAATTGCAATATTAGTCACCCGCTTATCGTTCGAGTTGCAAGTTGGTCTCCGAAAACCTTCTAATCGATGCTCTTGGAGAAGATTAGCATGTTATTTTGAGAGTAACTTTTATCTATTTGTTCGACAACTTTCCACTAGGCACCATTAAAAACTAAGGTCGCCAAGAATAGATTCGCCCTGCAATTTGCCTTCTCGCGCATAAATGGATACAACACTTAGGATCATGTGCGGAGTTAGGGGGACAAAAAAAATGTATTAGAATGATATATAGGAAAAAAATTCCATTAAAAAAATCACCTAAGAAAATTATAATGGCCTCGTTCGTCGCTACTCGTGACTTAGATGAGATCGAATCGAATTACTTGTCCATCAGTTAAATGATTAACGACTCACTAAATTTCTGTTGGTGTTCTTTTTACATAGAAACGGAAGAATTGATTTTACGTTGAAGAAATAATTAAATATATCGGTATTGTTGCACAGTCAATTTTTAATCATAGAAAATATCCGAAATTTAAATTAATTCCTAACATTTTTTTTTAAATAATTGTGATACTAATAATATTAGGTTGCTTATTACACATGAAAATTCGGACTCATGACATTCCGTATGATTCATAATTTTTATTTACTAGTTACTTATCCACATATATTTAATAAAAGCTTTGCCATACATGAATGGTTGAAATTTTGATTAAACGTGAAGACACTTAAATGGGCCGACAAATACGCCAAATCCAGTGGATAGTAGCTTGAAGTAAAGGCGAAGAGCTCGCAATCCGAAGAATCAACAAACAGGCCGTGCCAAGCCCACTTTAGAAATACTTAAGACCCTATACCCATTTTGTGGCCCAAAATCGAAATATGCTCATCACAATTAATTCTAGAAATACAACCATATAGCCTGTGCATTTTTTCAAAACTCATTTTTTCTAGAGGAAATTACACACTGCCCTACTTTTAGATTTCCATTTTCAAAAATTCCATCACAAGTTTAACTTTTCAAAAATCAGATTTTTTATATTTAATTTAATATGAATTATTTAATTTTCATCCCAATTAAAATAACACAAATCAACCCTGAAATTCATTCCACCTACCGTCCCATTCTCTCCTCCCCATCTCAACCCCACTGAACATCTCCTCGTCGACGAGAGCCCACGGTTTCTCTCCCCTCTGTCCCATTTTCTCTTCCCCGTCTCTGTGCTTAGAAACCGCCGCCCAACAGCATATTTCATCGTCGGCGAGAGCCCACAAAACCAGATTTGTGGTTTTTTTCAGCAATACGATTTGAACCCACAAATCCATATCCATGTCTCCTCGTCGGTGAGAGCCCACAGATCCGCCACCCAACCACATATCTCCTCGACTGCGTACGAGAGACAAGGATCCAGTTGTTTTTGAGCAGCGCGATTTGAACGTCGCGGAGTGAAGCGAAGTTGGTTGTCTCTTCTTCGATTCTTCTTTCCCTTGTTTTGAGTGGTGTGGTGATGGGTGCTGCGGGGATGTGCACGGTGGTGCTGTAGATGTTGCTGGAAGACGCGGTTGGGTTATGGTGGTGATGCTCTTGTGGTTGTGGTCTGCCTGCCATGGCCGGGATGATGTGGTTTTTGGGTGTGTTTTCAGTTTGTAGTGGTGTTTGGGTGGCAGTCACTACGTACCGTTGGCTTTGTTTATTGGCAGCAGATCGGTAATGGTCTCGGTGAGGTGTGCTGTCGTTGCGACGGTGTTATTATTGTGGTAGTGGTTGTGGTGGTTTTTTTAGCGGGTGAACGACATGCGATGGCGATTTTTTTGGTGTTACGGTGCAGGTGATGGTGGTGGTAGTGTGACGGGGGCGACGATGGTGGTTTTGGTGGTATTGTAGCGAGGACGGGAGTGGAGTAGTGTTTGTAACCAATTATTTGGTTGGTTTGTGACCAAAACATTAACGGAAGATCGGGACTGGGGTGGGGTGTTTGGTGTATGCGACCGACATTTTAGTTCATTTTGTAACCCACCGATAAACTGTGATCTATAATTTTTTAATTTGTGGCCAATGAATTAAATCATGACTTATAAAATGTTTAATTTGAGATCTCGGAATAACTTTGTGACCAATTAATTTGATATTTTGTGACCGTAAAATAAGTTGCGTGACTTATAAATTTTGTGATTTGTGACCGATGAACAAATTGTGACTTTTAAAATTTTAATTTGTGACTGATGAACGAACTGTGACCTAAATATTTTGAATTGTGACCAAAATGCATGGATCTGTGACCTTAATGTAGTCGTCGAAATGATTGTCGGATATCAGTTGTGACCGGAACGGTAACCGGAATAGTCCCCAAAACAGTAGAGGTGGTGGAGATGGGGTGGAGTAATTTTGTTATATTAGTATTAAATATGTAATAATAAATTGATTGGAGGAATTTTGTTATATTAGTATTAAATATGTAATAATAAATTGATTTAATAATTTATTATTTCATAAATAAAAATTTAAAAAAACCAGATTTTTGAAATTTGAAACTTGTTTTAGTACTTTTGAAATTGTGTAAAGTAAAAACCTTATATGTGTATCGTTCCCTTTTTTCTAAAACTCACTTTCAATCACACATTCTTTTATAAAATAATTTTACATGTAAATTCAAAAAAAAAAATTCTATTTTTTAACTGTAAATTTTTCAAAAAATCACTATTCCGACCACCACACCAAAAAAATAGGGCCATAGAAGGACGCGTAAATTTTTTTCTTCGCTTCGTGATTCTCATTTTCCTATTTCTGATTGCCTTAAATCAATGAAAATCATCTGCCAAATCTTTCACACAATCCGTTACAATAGCGCTACTGAACTAACCGATGCATAATTTTCATTATTTATTAACTCTATTATGAAATGTTTTGATCAGAAAAAATGAACCCTAAATTTCCCGATTTAATTTTTCCGGTTTATAAATTTTTTACCATACTTTGAAGCCACGTGAGTTGCATTTTGCCTGTGAGGGCCACTTGAGCCTTGGACGAACGGGGGGCGCATACACCAAATCAACAGGAGACGCCACATGCGCCACCTAGAGTGACAAGGTCCATGCTACCAAAATCCATGTGAGTTTCGTGAAGCAACGACTCTCATAAATACTCCAAAATGGAACAAAACCCTCGAAATTAACAAAAAAATAGTAAATATAGTTCCACACCAGCACGGTCAAAGATGAAGAAATAATTCATCAATTATTATACTGAGGTATACCTCTTTGTGAGGTTTCATACATTTTCAAGATTATTATACTGCCTTAGAATGTGACATGTTGTGCAATTTTTTATTTTTAATTAAAAGATCGCACACAAGCAATTTATTATAAAATAATACGAAGATGGCTAAGCTTTCAATTTGCATATGAGAATTTCCCAAAACTGATATTTAGATGTTAATTTTATTTTTGTTGGGTTAAATGTGAAGTAATGTTTCGTGATAGAGAAAATGACATGATATGTCACTTTTTAATTAAAATTAGTGTGGATCGTGTTTTGCACGATAACCGTTATAATTTTTGTAATTCCACAATTGAACAATGACAAAAATAACATTAAATTATTTCAAGTAATGAATATTCAGGCACTCTTTAAATTACACCATTTATTTAATATTTAATATTCAAATATATATTAATACTACATTTTTCAACCAATTTTACAATAACAAATATAACAAGACAAAGAGTAATAAAATGAAATATTATAGTACGATTCTCACCAGATTGTTTTCTAGTTTTGACTTTTTTCTTTCTGTTGTTCAGTGCATGTATTTTCGGTTAAATTATTAATATTTTGTGCTCGCTTACTACTAAATTCAGTTACCATTGAACTCTCTGAACCTTTACCTTTAAAAGAAGAACAAATATTAGAAATGAAAATAAAAACGTAATTCAGAAGAATATAATTTATAATTGATACAACTCAACTTGTAACATGAAATTAAAAGAAAAAAAATTATAGGTGAATCAACAGAATCAATAAACTATAGACATAGATGCTAACCAGCAGAGGTGGTTGGAATGTAGGTAATCTCCTAATTCAAGAAAAAAAAACCTACTTCAACTGGATGATCTAACAGATTGTCCACAATTTTGCGAATGAATATTTTCTTCTATAAACTCCTTGCAACTACTTTATACGAAAAAGATATTTAGCTCCTTAATAAACAATGTGTTTAAAATAATGTTTCGGTGCGATAAAATCAATTTCTGGATGAAATGTGTAATCCTTTAACTTTGTTCGTGTTCAAATTTTGGAGGTCGAACTTTATGTCTCATTTCTGATTGAGAATTACAATATTGCAATGAAAAAACTCAATTTATGTCAATTTCAATGAAACCTTATCTAAGCAAAATGCAGGTCTAACCATGCCTTCACAGAGATTAACAAAAATTGAAAATAATAATTTTAAACAACAATCTTTAAAAGAAATAGAGACTTTCAATAGATATGATGTACCTTATCCATATTTGGTAGATATTCAAAGGATTTTATAAACGATTTTACCCATTCACTACAGGTAAACCCGAAATAGCCTCTACCCACTGCTTCTTCCAACTCGTGTTTGGTATAGAAATTATTCTGAAAACCAAATTTCTTTGTTACAAGTGACTCAATGTGCTCTGTCGGAGTTGACACTGAAAATCTCGCTTTTTCAAGTGATGTTTTGCTTCAAACAGAGAGTTTAAAAAAATAAGGGAAAGCCAGAAAAAAATTCAAAAAAGTAAATTAAAGGTGAAATTGTAATATGTCAA